ACCAATTAAGTGTTTAACAAATACAAGTGCCTTGATCTTAATATCTTTTGTTTGGAAATGATGTTATTATTAACACTAGTGAGGTCTATCCAGATGTCACGTGTGAGGATGGATATCCCACCGATGACACTGGTTGGGATCGCGCTAAATCACGAATTGGTAGAAGTTAGAATTCATGGACTGGCCATTTGAATCGGGTCGGGTCCCAGTGGCTGAATGATATACGAGCTTGCCTTGTAACTGGAAGGTCCTGGGTTCGACCCCTGGCGGTGGATGCGTACTTCCGATGATTCCCAAACTAGGATGAAACACTTGTCCAGTACTCCAATGCTGGTTTTCAATGGTTCTCTAAATGATATCAATCCGTGATCAACCCGTAAAAATCATTATTCGTAATAATTTTTCCGCACTTGTATTCCCAGAAAAAAGGAATGTAAAGTAGAATTTCATATTTAACCATATTACTCCAATAGCATGTGCGTCACTGGTTCACTGGTGGAGTGCTTGCCAACCACGCACATCTTCCGGGTTCTATCCCTTCTCTCTCACTCGCAAGCCTAGCTTAGCTGGTAGTTAGTCCGGTACGGAGAGGGAAGGTTGGGTGTGTGGCTAGCATCTCCATCCTGTAGGAAAAAAATCACCACCGCTATTGAAACTTTAAACCTAAAGCTTGAAGCCCTATGTTCCACTTGCGAAGCAAGGAATGGGAAATAGAGAGACTTCAATTCATGCTATTTATTATCATTATTAGTGATATGAGGTAAAGTTAAAACATTACAAGTATAATGTAAAATAAATTGAAACCGTTTATAAACTAGATGTCTCAAACTTTGGGAAAAGTCAGTTAATGTGGATCTTTGATGTTACTTTTCAAAATGGTCTCTTCTGTTAAACATTATTTCGCCTGCATGGGCACATACTTATTCCTCAAGAGCTACTTGTGCTGGGACATGTATCTGGCAGGGAGCTACATCTCTTGTGTAGACCTGTGGTTCAAAGTCAAGCGTCCAGACTACTCATCTAGGCAGTATCGTTTCAACTACGTCATGGATGACGATGTCAGAGCCAGAATGGGAAAATCAAGACAGATCTTCATCACTCTGAAATCAGTTTGGAAATCTTCCGCACTAAGCATCAAGATCAAATTTCTAATTTTCAACACCTAGCTTTGTGTCAGTTCTATATGGGTCAGAGACTTGGCATGCACCGAAAAGCATCGCCAACAGGGTACTTTACACTTCTAACAACAGGTACCCTATTCGCTTGATAGTGAAGATCAAATGTCCAGAAAGAATAAGTAACAAGGAAGTCTAGCAGGCTGAGAACAAACCAAGAATTCATAGCCCAGAAGATATTCTGAAGTAACTAGAGATGAGTCGGACACACAGTGAGAAGACTATCGAGTGACATCGATCACGAGGTGACGACACAGGTGTAACTCGAATGGGGAATGATGAGTTGGGCGTCTGAAGGCGATATGGATGAAATCGTGTCAGAAGATTAAGGCTTACAGGTAGTCGTGGAACCAGCTAAAAAGGACTGCGAAGAATAGTACAAGACGGAGATTTGCTGTTTTGAAGCCCTATTCTCCACTTGGAATCCAAAGGAATACTAACAAATAATAATGGAAAGATATTATTATTATAAATAGTGCATTGATTACCTTCAGACCTAGATTTTTCAATATACTTAATAATATCTAGTGGTTGTATTTAAGATCCAACGCCTAATTGTATAGCCTATGTAACTGGCGTGTTTCTCGTCAAATTTCCGAACATCACCCTGCATATTGGTTAAGTAAAGGACAAACAAAATCTATTCGCAGCGCTATTCTATCTCATCTTGTGGAGACAGAACAAAAGATTGACGTTAACTATGCTTTCAGAGTCCTTTACCGCATACCTACGAATCTCAATTTCACCTTAAGAGTTCGACTACTAAATATTGCTGAGGCTGTTGGGATCCATATTAACAAGCCTAATTTGTGCATCCAAAGAAACTTAGTTCAGACATTATCATTACGTTGGCCATCTAGGTTTAAATAATCCGAAATTTTTGTGGAATTTCCCTAATTTTAGTTGATATTCTATTCGCTATTATATTTGTATTTTAATTATAATAATTTAAGCATCTTTAATGAACTGTAATTGCATTGATCATACTTCACAAATAGATATTATTTAAAAACACTAATATTGTTATTAACTACTAATCTAGAATATTCTGTGTATATAAACATGCATATATAATTGTAGAGCCGGAAGAGGAATTTATCGAAAAGAATATTCTTTGTTCGATTATTTTGTGTCTTATCACAATTGTTAACATTAAACTTAATATGAAACAGAAAAGTATTTCATGGGGGACATAGTTTGTAAAGTCATTCAATGATTTTAAACCTCTGATAAAATTTCATGTGTCATAGACAATAAAAGAATTACTGAGAAGTTACTTAACAACACTACAAATGGCCTTATTCAACTAACAACTATGGATACAAAGTGAATGCTAACGATCATGTATGAATGACTGTTTCAATAGGTCTCGAGTGGGTGAGACATTGAAAAGTCAACAGAGCGCTTCGATTTCATCCTCTAATCTTCAGTCCTTTTCAGCTGGCTCCACGGTTATCACTAAACTATGATCTCCACCTAAAACGATCTCCTTTAGATCACCCTTGGACCCATGCCCAACTCATCGTTTTCCCAGTCTTATTCTTTATACTTAGTGAGGTAGATTTTCAGACCGATTTCAGACTAGTGAAGGTCTTGCCTTTCCGATCATGGATTTTACATCGTAATCCTTGCTGTCATTTGTAGTTGAAGTGATGCCAGCCAGATAAGTGAAAGAAGTAATTTCCTTCAAACTTTTCTCGTTGTTGGTTACTGCTGCTTGTTGTTGTTGGTGGTGGCTCCTGTCTTCGTTATCTACCTCTTCTACCAACCAGTTGATTTTCGCCTGAAGACTTTTGAGTTTGTGTGACATCAGACAAAAAGGCAATGGGTAAGTTTAGATCTCCTAGTCTTCTTATCGGTCCAACATATTCGTGTTCTGGCGTTCCAGACGATTTGCCACATGACCCAGTTCACCACGATGAGGAATATCATAAGTGATAGTAGGCAGGATTGTCTTACTCCTGTCTTCACTTCAAAGTCATCGCAGACTTTTCCGTTGTGAATCGCTTGATATGTAACAATGTCATGTGGTTGTTGAATAAGGTTGATAAAGTTTTTGGGGCACGTCGTAATGTGGAATAAGTTTCCAAATCTCTTTGAGGTCAACGTTATCGAAGGCTTTTTCAAAATTGATGAAACTGAGGCTGACACGTGACTACTATTCTATGCTGTGTCCCATGTGAACGCGTAACACTGCTATTTGATCCGAACATGATTTGCTTTCCTGAATCCAGGCTGTTCTGGGTGAAAATTTTGTATCTAGAACACCTTTTAGTCTCTAAGAGATAGTTCTACTCAATATTTTGCTTAGGCATTATCATGATTCCGTGCCAGTATTTTTTCAAAGGCCAGAGTCATCCTTCTCTGGTAGTTTGGAAGGGTAACCTTTCTTCCAATCAGAATGTACCTTTCCTTCCTTCTAAACTTTGGATAACAGTGGCATAGAGATCTCTTAAGGAAGTCTGTCTGTTTCAGCTACCTTCCCGGTTTCCAGTAGCTTCAAGGAATTCTGGTGTCCATTGACGATCCTTTGGCTGATGATGGTATTGCTGGAGGAGTTGTAGTTATGTATTGTTCTGTTACTACTTTAGTGAATACTTTTCATTTTTTTAGCAATACTCAAGAATTAATATAAGGCGTAGGGAAATTTGTTTAGACCGATAACATTACTCAAAAAGCAACCTGCGCACAATAGCAATTTTAGTTAAAATGCACACCAAGTGAAGTCTGATGACACTATCCTGAACCCTAATAGATGAAACAGAAGTAAAGTTTATGACTAACTGAATGAAATTGGATGGAGGATTTCATCATGAGCTGACATCAGTTTGAGAACCATTGGAAAACCACCAAGGAGTACTGGACAGCTATTTCATCAGCCCAGTTTGGGACTCTGTAGAGGTACACACCCACCACAGGGAGTTCGAACCCAGGACCTTCTGGTTACAAGGCTAGCGGGCTCGTAAACCATTGAGCCACTGGGACCCGATCCAGTGGTCCTTGAATTCTAACTTCTGCCAATTCACGACATAGCGCGACCATTTCGCAATGTCTTCTTCGATGGGTTACTGCCTTATCTTCAACCTGCTGTACCCTACTGGTCACGGTTTCCCCCTAGAACCCCAGGTTAACTGCACGAATAAGGCCAATCGCTAGTGAGCATCAGAATAATTTTCAAGCATTAACCCCACTGGTCCAGTACTTCTAGGTTTTCCAGTGGTCCTCTAACTGATGTCAGCTCATGATGAAATCCTCCATGCAATCAAACAAAAATCCCTACAAAACCAATACTTGAGAATGAAATTGGATTGCTTAAACAGAAGACACGAATTATCAAGATGGAAATACTTCAATTATATTATAAATTCATAATCAATGACAGATTCAAGTATTGGCTTCGTAGGGATTTTGTTTGATTGGTTGGAGGATTTCACCATGAGATGACATCAGCTTATGAGGTTCTAGTGGGAAGCTGTGACCAGTAAGATGCAGCAGGTTGAAGGTGAGGATAGTTGTTCATCTAAGAAATTGTTAAGTGGTAGCGCTATGTCATGAATTGGCAGATGTTAGAATTCATGGGCTGGCCATTGGATCGGGTCACAGTGGCTTAATGGTCTGCTAGCTAGCTCACCTTGTAACCAAAAGGTCCTGGGTTTAAACTCCGGTGAACACGTACTGATGACGAGTCCCAAACTTGGCCGATGAAACAGCTGTCCAGTACTTCCAGATGGTTTTCCAATAGTTCTGCAACTGTTGTCAGCTCATGATGAAGTCTTCCAACCAATGACAGTTTCATTTGTCAATAAAAATAATAATAATAATTACCTTTAAAAGTGCTATTTCTGGTTGATCATGTACAAGATCAGTCGATTGACGTTTCTCTCGATGATATAAACATTCTTGTGTAATATGCAGTGGATTCTCTGTTTCAGCATAAGCTTTTTCAGCAATTCTTTTTGCTTCAATTAATTTATTCATTTCATTGACTAGGGCATCTAATTCATTGTGTAATTCATGTTTCATGTAATTGATATCATTAATTCTTTGACCTAATGTTAAATAAAGTAACATGAAGAACAAAAATAAGGTTTATTTCGTATTAAATTAGTTTTCTCAATATAGCACATTCTGTTAATAATACGATGACGCCTGGAGTACGATTTATTGCTCATTATCATATCAGTGTGATCACGCGTCTTCTAAACTTTCTTCATAAAGCCTTACTGCCGTTTATTTTTTTACTGTAATCTTCTATACATAACTTTCCTTCGCTTATCTAGGCAAAATCGTTTCAGCTGCAGGCATTTTGTATGCATGAGAATGTCGAAGCCAGGAGAAAAAAGGCAAGAAAGACATTCATCAATCTGAAACCACCTTGGAAATTTGCTGCGCTCAACATAAAGAATAAAATTCGGATTTTCAACACCAATGTTATGTCAGTTCTGTATGGGTCAGAGCATTTCTAACAGGATACCTCAGATTTTTATCAACGGCTGCCTTCTCTGGCTCCACATTGAGGATCAAATGGCTGGCCAGAAAAAAATAGTAACATGAAACTCTGAGAACGAACCAACCGGAAAACCTATTGCTCAACAATTATGCGGAAGTAAATGGAGACGAATAGAACACTTACTGGAAAGATCATTGAGTGACATCATGTGCCAGGCCTTCAAGTGGATAATGAATGGGACAAGACGAGTTAGGCATGGATCTGAGGGTGACATGGAGGAGATCACCCAGGAGGGGAGGCGGAGATGAGGTCTTACGGGCAGTCATGGAACCAGCTAAAGAGTACTGCATAGGACCGGAGAAAATGGACATGTTCTGATGAAGCCCTATGTTGCATTCTGAAGTCAAGGGAATAGTAATAATATAACAGGTATGTGCTACATCATTTCTATTTAGTATATCTGGGTGGATTTGATGAACTAAGATTCAGTGATTAACTTCTTTTTCTCTCCATCCAACTATATCACTTTTTAATCCATTTACCTATTCTTACCCTACTGCGTGATTGCTTACAAGTGGATGCATTGCTTTCTCCCAGATTACTTAACTTGTTTGGACAATCGTTCTAATATTATGATAATTTTACTGAACCCGATCTACTAGTTTTATCTTTAAAAGTATGTCTCCTACATGTTAATTTTGTATCACAATTAAAAATGAAGATAAACTTGCTATCTATTGCCAACCACTAAACAAGTTACATGTGGCATCTGATAGCTCCTACACTTATTAAATAAGACGAAATTGAAAACACCTATTCTGTAAGCTTCACACAACGCTAAATGGCTTCCATAAACAAGGCATTGTATTTATATATTTAAAGTCTGTACCAATGGGTTGACTTCAGAAAAGCTTTCATAGTAAACGCAAAATAAACAAATAGAGACATAACATTCTCAGATACAAAGAAATGCACTTCTAGGACAAAATTCTACTCGTAACACTTTTATTCATAGAAATCAGATCTAAAGTCATTATTTCTGAGATTTGATTGATTTCAGGGAAGGTCACGAGCTAACCATTGAAAGTCACCGATTACTGGACAGCTATTTCGCCCTATTTTAGGGCCATTTAGCAGCATAGACGCAAGATATTCACGTTAGGAGGTGACCGCGTTGATGATCCAGTTGTCTTTGCACAGTGTAATTCTGGCGGAATTTAGAACTCATGCAAGACTTTGACTCCATCCCACTCACTGAATGGTCAAAGGGAGTGCCGTGTTGTAACTTTGAGTTCCTCTGGTTTTGATCCCCGGTGGGATTATTAGCGAGTATAGCTAAGTAGCTGTGCAATACTCCCTGGTTTTCAATGGTTCTTTAACTGAAGTCAGATCATGTTCAAAGTTGAAATCAAATAAATTACTCCGGACGACCTACTTAAGGGTTTCACACTAAGACGAAACACCTGTTCAGTACTCCCTGGTTTTCACTGGTTCTCAATCTGATATTGGCTCCTTATTTAACTTAAAAGATTTGAATATTTATTTTTCTGATATTTGCTATTTTGTTTAAATATATGCAAGAAAGGGATATCAGGTGGTTATGAAATATGATGGTTTGCTAAGTTGAAAAATTAAACATACAATTATGAAACTAAAATTTAAATAATAATTGTATATACAGTGTAAAGTTAATTAATTAATCATGCATAATGAGAAGAGAAATAAATATATTCAGATACAGTTGTCCATTTTTACCTCTGTTTCAAAATATAATTTCAGTGTCAAGTAATAAACATGTTACAAGATTCCATTATGAGCTGACATTAGTTAGAGAACCACTGGAAAACCTAGGAGTATTGGACGGCTGTTTCGTCCTAGTTTAGGACTCTTCATCAGTACGCGCCCAACACAGGGAGTTCGAACCCAGGACCTTCTGGTTACAAGGCGAGCTCGCTACTGAGCAGCTCATTGATATTCATCATAATAATATAATAATCGTATTAATATTCATAATGGTATACGAGCTCGCCTTGTAACCAGTAGATCCTAGGTTCGAACTCCCTGTGGTGGGTGCGTACTGCTGAAGAGTCCCAAACTACAACGACACAGCTGTCCAGTATTCCGTGAAGGTTTTCCAATGGTTCTCTAACTAATGTCAGCTCATGATGAAATCCTGTAACCAATCAAATCCCTACAAACCAACAATTGAATAATAAACATGTAATTCATTTGAGGCAAAAATCCTGATTTAATTGGTGGATGGTGACTAGCAGTTGAATATAGGATGCGCATTTCGTCCCATTTGGGACTCGACATCTGGATGTACCTACATGTCACCTAGAAACCGAGCACTTTGGTCCAATCAATCGACGGGAAAATCTAAAATTCAATTTAAAAAAATCATAATTCCTTTAGGAGATTCCATTTTCATTTTAGGCTAAGGTAAAACACATATGTCAGGGCCTGAAGTTCAGGTGCAAGAATGCTCTACTTGTTTTGAACCCAGTCCTCGTTAGTTTGAAGTCGAATGGATTATACGGATAAGCCATATTATATTCACGATTAAACATCATATTCTAGCTACACTCTCCCATTTTTTCTCAAATTAGAAATGTTTCTTTTGAAAAGTAGAAATATTCTTCTAATGAAGGCTTTATATATCTTGCGTCTATTCCCTGGTGTTAGTGGAGACTGAATTCTTTCAGTCAAGTTTGCAATGCGGTCATTATGCCGCTAGGTGTCTCGCCATCGAGGTGTATACTGTTCCGATGTTAGATGATTGAAAGCAATCGACAGGAATCCTTGGACCAAGCTTTTATGCTTGTTGGCACTCACAAGTCTGTCAAAGTGTTTCTAAAATCTAGGCGTTATATTTCACATATTCTCCCAAATATTAGGAAGAAAGTCATAGAATATTAAGCAAATAATAGAAAGTGTTTCTTACCAAGTAACTTGCTAACTTCTTGCTGGGCACGTCTCACTCTGTCTTCCGACTCAATACCCAGACGTGTTCCATTCTCGCGTATATATTCAGCTCGCTTTCTTGCTTGTTCAGAATTTGTCAGTTGTAAAGCATTACCCTTATTCCAATCAGCTGGTGTATACCTTGTGTATAGCGCATTACGTGCAGCGGAATAAATAGACGGTATTTTTAGGCCTTCTAATTCATGCAGTCTTGAAGTTTCACCCATAACATTGACTATCGGACCAAGTCTTGACGATTGAATCCCATTATGATAAGATAATCGATCCGGTGAAAAATGTGATTTAGGACGCCATGGAGCAAACGATTTTACACTCCTGTGTGTATACAAAGCTGGAAAACTGCCTTCGGTAAGATCATCAAATTTTTCTGCATATCTTGAAGTGGATGATTTCAGTATATCTGGTAGATTTGATGTACTATGACTTAATCTTAGTGGTTTTTGAAAGTAACGTTCTGTTAACAATTCCATTTGTTTAAAACTTGTTTTTAAGACTATAAAATAATTATAACATCACATAATAATAATATTTAGTTATTAGGTGATAACACGAAAATATGAACTCATATTACACAGGAGAATATAAAGGTTTGTAAAAACGTTCATCGACTGAGATGGTTAGGACATGTGTTACGTATGCCTAGTCATCGCCTTCCTCGACCGACGGGCAATCTTAGCTGATATAGGGCCAGGCTAGAAAAGAGCTAGCGGCGGTCAAACGAAAACATGGCACCAGTCAATGAAATCTACAACAGTTAGTCTAAGCCACTTATGAAGGTGTAGACTTCCTGGTTGGGGTCCTCGGGATAGTAAAATCCAATGGTTGGAAACATTTGGTGACATGGCTCAAAATCGTTCTCAGTAGTTAGCGCAGATGCACCCACTCCTTGTGACTTATGATTTCCAATGAAACTGTTTTGTTCTTCGTTATTACTATTCCTTTGTCACACACCTCTGTTTACTGTCTACATTATGCATTTCTTCTACTTTCTTCTCTTGCTTTGTGTGCTACATAAAGGGAGTGTGGCGACTTGAACTGCCGCACATATGTGCAAAGTTCTATGTCGAAAACCGACCGACCGACCGAAAAAAGTTCATCTCAATGTTTGAACCAAAAATATATACCAGGATGATATGAGCTCATTTTTTTTTATTATGTCAAGGATTCTTTTTGACTACTTATAACCTGAACAATAAAAGAATATAAATTACAAAAAAATAGTTTGGACATACTTTTTTGGCGACATTATTTTTTGGAAACATTTATTTCCCGATACGAATTTAAAACAAGCAATAAAGGTTAGTTAATAAAGCAGGATTTAATGAATTCATCAAATTTCGGTAGAACCTTTCCTCAGCTGAATACTCTACATACACGGATATATATATAAATCCTCAATAACAAAACATCTTGTGGACTACGGACATGATATCGATGCGGTCAAGTCATTCACTGTTATTGTCAGCAGACAAAGAAACAAGAAGATGCTTGCAATTGCAGAGGCTTGTGAAATTCGAGTTTATAAACCAGGTCTCTGTATACTAAAGGAGATGGTCATCACTCTGAATCTACCATGGTAATACGTTTTACTTATTATTCTACCACTAATTATTATTATGATTATTATTATTGATTCATTTAAAACTATCGTTTATCAGTAGGATTATCTTAACTCACTTCAACAATATTATTATTATTGTATTATAACTATTACTATTGATATTACTCTGTTTGCAATTCTCGTTATACTCTCTAATGACTAATTGTTTATCTAAGTGATGTAATTGAAGCGTAATGCAATTTATCTCTCATACTCTCTCTCCCTTTATCTATTTGAACATGACCTGGAAAAACATTCGCACCTGTCTTTCTGCATTACTAATTCAATGTAGTTTGTTTACTTATCAGTCCTATATCTCCCAATGTAATTTCAAAAGTATATATATCCGTGTATGTGGAGTATTCAGCTGACGAGTTCTACCGGAATTTGATGAATTCCTTAAATCCTGCTTTATTAACTAACCTTTATTGCTTGTTTTGACTTTTTTTATAGTATGAAATACTCCCATATCATGAATTAAAAGTCAATCTGAACGAAGAATATTCTTTTCAGTTAATTTCCCTTCAGGTTCTTACAATTATAAAATATAATATTTATTGTCGTTACTTCTTTTTATTCCATTGGTGTTCCCAATGCAACATATGCCTTCATGCTTGAGCTTTGAAGTTTCTGAAGTACTTTGTCTTATTTTTGAGGGCTGGGGTTACCACTTTCACTCTCAAACTACCATCTTTGCCTGGCTTTCTTTTGGATAATAGGTGTTTAAGAGTACGGTGTCCGCCGGGAATCGAACCACGAACCATATATGTGATTGACAAGCATTATGCCGCTGCACCACCGACGTTGTGACAAAGAGTAAGTGATAGGGACTAAGCGTAACATAAGACAGGAATGACATAAACTGTCGAATTACTAAGAGTTAGAACAGACAAATAATCTTAAGAAAAGACAGAGTTAAAAATTTTCTGATAGGAACAGTGTTCAGCTAGGAGGGGTATATCAGTAAAACTTTTTTCATTTCTTTACGTTCAGAGTGGAGCACAGGGCTTATTGAGGCTTGAGGTTTCGGTGAAAGTGGTGTTTGTCTTTACGGGATGAGGTTGATGGCTTCATGCTCAACCTTCCCTCCTTACTAATCTTATTATTGGCTTAGTGTAGGAAAGGAGTAAGTCCGTGGCCGGGGATCGAACTCCAGACCACGTGTGGCGTAGTCGGCGAGCATTCTACCGCTATACCACCGACGCAATCAGTACAACTTAACTACAAAAATGTCTCTGACTTGTTGGAGGATTTCATCATGAGCTGACATTCGTTAGAGAGCCATTGGAAAACCACCTGGGAGTACTGGACAGCTCGACTTGCAACCAGAAAGTCCTGGGTTCGAACCCCGCTAGTGTGTACCGATGAAGAGCCCCAAACTAGTACGAAAAAGCTGTCCAGTCTTCCCTGAAGGTTTTCCAATGGTTCTCTAACTGATGTCAGCTGATGATGAAATCCTCCAACTAATCAAACAAAATCCCTACAGAACCAAAACTTGAAGAAACTTTTTTTATAAAAAGGAGTAAAGTGAGAGACTCTCAGGTGAAAAAATATGATTTTCTAAACAGAACAAGAGATACAGGTGAACAAATGAAGTAATAATAAATAGTATAACTTTGTGTTGTAAGTTTAATCATTGATGTATTACAGCGGTCACCACATTCTCATTCTGTTTGCATATTTGCCTTAAACCACAATAAGAGTTGATTGTGCGTCGGTGGCATAGCGGTTAAGATGCTCGCCAACCATGCACATGGTCCGGGGTTCGATCCCCGGCCGACGCACTCCTTTACCTCGCTAAGCCAGAAATAGTGCTGGTGAAGAGTAAGGGTTGGGCATGAGGTTAGCAACCCCATCCTGTAAAATAAACGGTCGATCGGTCTGTCTTCGACATAGAACTTTGCACCGATGTGCAGCAGTTCAAGTCGCCACACTCCCTTTATGTAGCACACAAAGCAAGAGAAGAAAGTAGAAGAAATGCATAATGTAGACAGTAAACAGAGGTGTGTGACAAAGGAATAGTAATAACGAAGAACAAAACAGTTTCATTGGAAATCATAAGTCACAAGGAGTGGGTGCATCTGCGCTAACTACTGAGAACGATTTTGAGCCATGTCACCAATTGTTTCCAACCATTGGTTTTTCTCGTCGCGAGGACCCCAACCAGTCAGGAAGTTTACATCTTCCTACGTGGGTTAGACTAACTGTTGTAGATTTCATTGACTGGTGCCATGTTTAAAATAAAAATAAAATAAACACTGCTACAGAAACTTCAAGCCACTAGCCTGAAGCCCTGTGTTCCACTGGGGAACGTGAAGGAAAAAAAAGAGTTGATTATTCTTGTGAGTAAACCTTATCGCATTAAATATAAATATACTCTTTAATACATATGGATAACCGTTTTGTTATCATGACTAATTCAGATAAAACGTGAAAAAAGCATAGCGATATTTTATACTGAAGAGCAGACTTCCTTTAATCTTTTCAAATGAGATTACTAAATAGCTTCTAATGCGTAGTAAATGAACGATGAAACCACCAGATCACTGAAAACACAGTTTCGGATGATTGTCTTGCTTTGTTCTATATTCGGAAGCAGTTGATTTGGTCGATTTAAATTTATATATTTTGCCATGAATTGAGAACAGTTACTTATCGATAATATATGAAATTGTGGTTAAGTGATATCGTACATTTACCCGTATAGGTAAAACACTAAACAATATTCTCTTCTTTCCTTTTCACGAAAATATCCAGGAGTCAGTTCTGTGACGCAAGAGGAAAAACCACTATCAAGACCTGATATTAACGAAGATCAAAAGATTAACTGGTCGTAAGGGTTAAGCCTGCGCACTCTGGTTTTTGAAATTTTACTGAATGCGCGCTCTTTCAAAGCTCGTGTTCTACTTTCCTTTCTTATGTGACTGCTGATCGTTGTGTTGCACTTCATTCCAGTCGTAATCGACTCAATTGCTAACCTTCAAAGAGTTACAGATGATCATTATTTGACATCTCTAAACTATGCGAAAACAACTTCTTGCTTTCCAATCGTTATTCATATTACACCAATTTGAAATGAAATTCGCGATATGAAAAACTATATTTAACTTGATAATATAGCAATTGCATGGATTTCAATTTAACACATTCAAATGATAAATGTTTCGGCTTTTGCTCAAAAAGAATATCTAATTTCTTCTGAAGGCGGATTATAAGTCACTACAAACAGGAACGTGAGCCGGTTGCACAACGGTAGAATGCTGACCGACCATGGAGGTGGTTCGGGGTTCGATTCCCTGCCACCGATGCACTCCTTTACCTCGATAAGCCAGTAATGGGACCGGTAAAGAGGGGGGTTTGAGTGTGAAACTAGCAACCCCATCCCTTAAAAGTAAAGCACCACTGCTGCTGAGACGTCAAAGCTCTAGTTTGAGGCCCCATATTCCACTGGGAACGTAAAGGAATAAAGAAACAGCTAAGAGCAAACAAAAGAAAACAAACATTCGACTTTTCAACCCTTCAACGGATAAAGCAGATCTTATACATATGGCAAGGACTTGAGCCTGATTTATGAGGCTGTCATTATAAAAATAAAACAAGCTATGACCTACTAGTTGAAATAAATCATTCGGAAGATAAATCACACCTCATTAAAGCCTAAAACTAAAGACATCCAAGAGTCTAGATAATCCCGTACATACAGTCAACTAGCAATGATATAAGTGTCAATGCAACAGTTCATGGAAGTATAATGATTTATTTTGTGAGGTACAGCAAAAGTTTCCCTTAAGATTGGTTCAGTATGTTTTCACATAGTGAAGAATATGGTGATCCTATCACCAATGTTTTTAAAAGTATTGACAAAAACCA